CACTTTTACTTCTCGAGATACCAGAAGACCTGAAACTACCCAATTTTAGAAAGGGATAAAAAGGTCGATTGAAGAAAAATTCATTTGTAGCAAGGAAGACCTGGCTGAAGGAATACTACAGTAGTTGCAAGGTTCAAGATTAGGGATGAGCCAATACCAGAAAAAAGCTGATTTGCCTATCCGATATATTGGAGCCGATATAAAAAAATAATCAGCCGATTAATCTAATAGAATCGGCTATGGCCGATATTTCTGCGTACCGGAAGGAAAAAATTAGGGGGGCGGACAGAAAATTGCCCGACTTTTCGTGATTGTGCCCGACTAGTACCGAAAAAAATTTTCCGGAAAAATTATTACATGCAGTTTACTGAAAGTGCTTGTCCCTATTCAAAAGAACATGAAACAAGAAAACTATTGCAGTAAGAAATTTCTAATTGGAATAACTACAGTACGTTGCCCAGCAATGCCCTAATGTACACAAGATTATGACTGAAATGATCAGGACATTGAACAGGATTAGGCCCCAATGCCCTAATGTACACAAGATTATGACTGAAATGATCAGGACATTGAACAGGATTAGGATTCAGAAAGTCGAAAAAGCTAAATGAATTTAATCATCGTTATATTGAAATCCAAATAGTTGTGTCCTACAATCTGGTCTGTAGGTTTTTAAAAGGTCAAGAATGGGGTCCAGGTTGGGGTCCAGATTGGGGTCCAGAATGGGGTCCAGATTAGGGGTCCAGAAAGGGGGGGTCCACGTTTTGTCAATCCCCATCGCGGGAAGAGAAATTGATAAAAATACAATGGTGAGATGCAGGAAAATAATCCACAATTAAGCAGGTGATTGATAGCCACAATCATAGATTTACATGCATGATAGTTAGGGGTGCACCAGAACCACTTTTTTTGGTTCCGGCCAGAACCGGATCCGACCGGAAATGGAAAAAGTTCTGGCCGGATATCCGAAAACGACAGAGTTCCGGTTCCGGCCATGATTTTATTAGTTCCGGCCTAAAAACCGGAACGCTGAAAAATCGGGGTTCCGGCCGGAACCGAGTGCCGGTGCACCCCTAATGATAGTTGTGGTTTTTAGAGGCATTTATTGGGATTTACAGGCATTCTGGTGTATTAAGTTGTATTCTAGGTCATTACCACATTCTATGAATACTGTAACCTGGTTATATCTGTTGATTACATCTGAATCATAACACGTTGAACTGTGTTAGAAAAAAGGCGGGG